CCTGATGCAGCTTCTGTCTAATCTCATTTAGTACATGAGTCCCAGGAAGGTGGTCAGAGTGGAATATTCTAGAAATGCTTGTCAAGTGTTTTCTGAATACCCAAACCATGTAGATTCACAGAGAAGCCGAGCAAGTCTCTGCTGCAGAATGACATATGCAGGAAGAACACCAGATTCTAGTGCAGAGAGAAGTTGAATTGGAATTCTTCAGAGATAGCACACTATGCGTATATGTCTATGCGCATGTATGTGTGTGTGTACATAGGCACACACACACATACCATGTCCCCAAAATTTTAGTGCAGTTTTCAGAGCTTTAATAACTTCAGAAAGACAAACTTACCAAGAAAAACATTTTAAATCTTAATAACTTATACTTCTTCTACACTTAGAGTTGTGAATGTTGGATAATGTATTTCTAATCTTTTTTGTTTTAGTTTGCACTTGTGACCCTCAACCAGAGGGGCTGATATAACTTATAACACACACTACACCTCCGACATACACAGCAAATGAACTGTATCACACTGCATCTCACACTAAGCCTGGAGTCAATCAAAAGTAATTTTCACACATGCTGTCATGAAAACTATATTGCTCCAGATGAATTAGCACAATCTTTCTTTTCCTTTTTTTAAAACTCTAGAATACTACTTTTTGTTTATACCAATTCAACTTTATTTTCCTAGATATCATTCATTTGTTAGAATTATTGCAGATCCTGTCCAGTCTTTGATTGTAGTATCTCCCCTTCCAGTGTTTTTCATCCACATACCTTTAATATTCTCAAACAGGCATTTCTAATCACATAAAAGCATGCAGAGTCCAAGGCAGAACCCTGTGGTGGGACTCTTAGCAAACAAACTGGGTCTCTACCTGCAGAGACATTACAGGCTAATTTGAATAGAGACCTCCTCCAACACACTGGACATCAACCTATAAACCAACAGCTTTCAGACAGGATACTTCAGTCAAATATAAATACAACCACTCATATACCATCCAGATATACATTATCACCCTAGCCAAAGAGACCACAAGAAGGGCTCTGTCAAATGTACTGCTGAAATTCTCAGACTATCTAAGGGCCTTGTTCTAACCCCCAGCTGGGGACCCTAACTCTTTCTGATGAGGGGGCAGTCTGGCCACAGCTCTGTTGCTTGTATATGCTAATAAATACATTACAATCACTAGACAAATTGAAAGATCAAAACCAACAAATGAAAACTAGCTTACCCAAGTTCAAGTAATATCTGGACAGGTCCCAGTGACATCTTCTGTGGGTTGAACCTTGTGCCCCAGAAAAATACATTCAAGCCCTAACGCTTAATACCCGTGATTATGATCTTATTTGGAAAACGGATCTTTGTAGATGTTTTCAAGTTAAGATGAGGTCACACTGCATAGGGTAGGCCTAATCTAATAATTGGGATCCTTGTAAGAACAGGGATATAATGACCCATAGTAAGATCACAAGAAGATGGAGGTAGAGATTGGAGTGAGGCTACCACAAGCCAAGGAATGCCGAGAACAGCCAGCAGCCAGCAGCAACTTGGAAGAAGCAAGACAGGAGTCTTCACTAGAGCCTTCAGAAGGGCATAGCTCTACTCACAGCCTGATTGTGGGCTTTTGGCCTCCAGAACTATGAAACAATAAATTTCTGTTGTTTTAAGCCACTCTTCTTGGGGTACTTTGTTACAGCAGTCATATCAAAGTAATATCACATCGACAAAACTATTAGGGGGTCTTCAAAAAATTTATGGAAAATGTGGTTTATGAAAAAACGATGCAAGGATTTCCAAATTTGTACCAAAAATACATGCATTGTTTAGTTCCAGTTTTCTGGGAACTTTTAAAAATACCTGATATGTAAGTTTAAAATAATACCTATTGCCAACAGAATCAACAGCACTTTGGGGATTGGTTGATCAATAAACGAGAATTAGAAAAGTGAAAGGAGAGGATTGGTGATATTTAGACTCTGGAGCAGGTGGTAGGCCTAATGTAGGGGAGCCAGGGAAGGAAGGTGAGTGGGTGAAGGATTTGGCCAGGTTTGGGGGCATTGGCCCTGAGGGTGGGGCAATAGACCAAAGGTGATCTCCAGGAGCAAATTCATCATAAGGATGTGAGCTGGACATTTCTCACCAGAAAAGCCCTGCTGCTTTTGAAGGGCAAGAAATCACAAATTCGTCACTTTGTCATCAGCGTATAAACAACACCATGTTGAGCTTCCTGTCTCCAATTTGGCATTTCCTTAAGGATGTTTCTTCATTCTAAATTAGACAGCAAGCCATGCAGGGGAAGGATCTGCAGGCCCTTCTGTCTATATATAGCGCACTCTATCCACCACTTCCAAGGTGCTAAGACACCACTGATGGATGACGATGTCTCTAAAGTGGTCACATTCTGAACCAGCATGAGGAAGACAGCTTTTCCGCACGTGAAAACTTATGGGAAGAAGGAGGCTCGCTCGCAGTTTCTAACACTGACCTGGCTCCCATGTGGCCCTATGAAATATACATCTGTGATGGCAAAAGTTCTCATTGGCAAGACCTTAAGAGGCATCCCCAGGAGCTTTTCTAGCAGTAATTAGGGGGATGTATTATTGCTAATCCCAAACACACTAGGAGCCCAGTTAATTCTGAAAGATAAAATAAAAGTGCTGCCTTGCGGCAAAAGGGCACTTCTTAGTGCCATTAAATCCAGTGAAGCCCTGTGCAGGGCGAGCAAATTAATTCTGGAGATGTCTGCACCCCATGCTGACACCCCTTTATGGAAGCTACCATGGAACAGGCAAATCAAGCATCAACGTGCAAATACCATTTAGCAAGTAGAGATAAGCCAGGCTAAATCATGCTCAGAGCACTTAAAAAAAGATTCAAATTTTAATACATTAGCACCAGAACATGCTGTACAAGCAACAGGAAAATTGCAGTTGTCAACGTGTGAATTTAGTCTCGGGGTAAGTTCATCCAAGGAAGTAAAATCTCAATTTAGATTCTTTTTGCTACCCCCCCCCCCCATATCCACGTGTTTCTTTTAGAGTGGAGGAGGACATTGTTACTCAGCAAATATTTTTCACACCAAGAAGGGTGGACTCATCAGGATGTCAAGTGCTCACCAAAATAGTCTGAAGCAGTCCTTCCTAGAGCCAAACCACAATGTCCTGTGGGATGTGCGTGTGTGTGTGTGTGCGCGCACACACATGTTTCTAAGTCTGTAATTCTGTGTGCATTCTTTTTTTAATGAGAAAGGATTCTAAGAGGAAATTGCAAGGGATTTTCTCCAGTTTCCTTTTTTACCATTCTCAAAAAGTCTACCTATCCTCCATCATGATTGAGTAGGGGTAGGTGTAGCGTCCTGGGGTGACAGCACGCTGTTGGGAGGGGAAAGCTCCCCAAGGCTAGTCAGGTGGGAGAAGTGGTCCCACATCCACCTGGGAACTGGATAGAAACAAGAGGGCTTGGGAGTGCATAGCCAACTCTGCTGATCTGAAACTGAGCTGTATTCCAGCTCGGCTTGGACAAGCTGTTTTCTATATCAAAGCAACAAAAAGAACTTTCATTTTGGAACGCATCTGGTCTCTCAGACCATTCTATCAGAAGCCACTATTTTCTTTAAATTGAAAGTCAAGGCAGTTTATTTTCTCAAAACTGTGCTGTCAGCTCTTCCTCCTGGCTCCTAACATTCACATGTTCCACACAATGGCAAGGCTGTCTTATCCTCAAAAGAGGATAAGAGATGGGGAGACCCTCCCTGAGGACATGATATGTCTGACATATTTACAAAAATATTTGCCCTAAAAGGCACATCAATCACTGATAAAGATGAGACGTATTTGGAGAAAACTTATTTAGAGGGGGAAAAAATGCCAATCTACCCTTCCAGATAGGATCCTTGAACCAAAATAAATTCTTCAAATGACATAGCTACACGTATTTTAATCAAGCATTTGACATTTCATGACAAACAACTAATTTTTCTTATTCTTGTCACTCCCTATGCACCGTAATTTCTAATATGAAATAACTGTGGAAAGCTTAAATGAGATAACTGATTATATGCATGTGCATATAATATAGCTAGTGTATGCGGATACACACCTGCAGTGTTAGGGTGCGGTCCCTGTTCTACATCACTGACCTTATTATTGTAGGTGCTCTATCACTACCCAGCCGCTTTGTAAAAAGGCTGTTGATTACTTTTTTTGCATTGATCTAACCAAACAATTCATTACCACTTCAAAAAGTATTTCAAACTATACAGAATGTGTATTGTCAATAAATTTGTAATATTTCCCCAAATAAATTCTAAGTCATGTTACCTAGGAAGGGTCTCTTTACACAATTGTCTTGTTTTGCTCCTGTTAAGATTCTGAGATAATTTAAAGCAGCAAAAAGCCATTCTTGGAGTCACACTGTTAATATTCATCTCTTAAGAAATTCTTTACCCCGTATTGTCCCACTTTATCAATTACAGATGGTCACATCTAATGTCTCAGTGAAAGGAAACTACTTTCCTCCTTTTTGATACCTCTTATATGCTAATGACATACAAATTCCAAAGTATGTCAATGAACAGGGTTACTAACTCATTTCTCCAGCTAGAAATTAAAGGAGGTGACATGGGAGTTGAGTCGCAAAAACATATTCACAATTGTATGATCACAAATCCCTCGACCATAAATTCAGAGAAAACCTATGTAATTAAAATGTAAAAATTAAGAATGTTTTCTATAAAATATGAATGTAGTTATTAAATGATTGTAAATTAACCATCAGTAATTTATTCTTCTACATTATTTGGCTTTTCCAATGATCATTTCATCTGTTTCCTATATTTTAAAAAAATCAAAGAAATTCAAGATATGGAAAAGACACGCTGGTTGAGGGTCTGAAACTGATTTGGTAGCTTTGGAGCTGACATAATCTTGGCCTGGTGCAGCTCGTTTTGGAAAGCTGCCTCAAATTTCCCCTGGTTTTGAACTTTTTTTTCCTTACCACTTTCATCTAGCAAGAAATCATCCTGGTAACGGAACTTCTCCGGTCCACATGCAATAAAAATGTCATCGTCACCAAAGAAGTCCTGAAGGCACATCACCTACAAGAGAAAAGCATGGTGCTCAGCGAGGGGCCGGCAGAACAGCAATTACAACAATGCATCCCTGCCAGCAGACATCTGCATAGAGCCCCTTCCCGTCTCCTGCAATCAACAGGGCAGCTTCTCCAGAGGAATTTCAAAAGAGGTCTCCCAGCATCTGTTCCTAGTAAGAAGCATGTTACGTTTCAGTTCTGCGGGAAGACGGGATAAGGCAAGTCGAACCGGTAACTGTCACATTTATTACTTGATACAGCAATAGGCTATGAGGTAAGAGCCCTTTGTTTCCATAATAGAGTGGATGCGCCCACATGTGCAAAAGGCGCTCCCCTTTACTCTCTGAATGTAATGCTCGTTGAGAGCAACCAAGTCAGCATATGGTTTGAGCAACAAATATGTTTTTTAGTAATTGAGACCATCATACGCACGTGGTAATCACTGGAGAGAAATATGTGTATCACAGTATGAACATAAGAACCTCCTTTAGACCCATTCTACCTCTACTTGAAAGGAAAATGGAACTCTTATAAAAGGAATAATTAAAAAATGAAGTTATTGCTGAGGTTTAGCTGCGGAGACAACAGCAACTGTATACCTATCACCCAAGCGATGCTAAACTGTAAAACTCCCAGGCCACCCAATTTCTTATCATATAAAAGGAAAATGTCGAGCAATCTTTGGACCTTTATTCCACTTATCCTCCAATGAGAACTTTGAGAGAGCTGAATGTCATTTTGGAAGGAAACATGGTCAAAATGAATAATTTCCAAGGATATTGCCTTTTGTCTTTCGATATGCTGTGTAATATTTAGTTTACAACATGTACAATGCCAACGCCAGCAACACTATTGATTTCTATCTATTTTCAATTTCCTTTGTCCACTTGACCAAATCAAAAGGTGGTCCACTGAAGGCACCCATTCAGAGCTGTATGAAATAGATTTTCTAATAGCATTTCCCTGGGTATTCCAAGAACACAGGCAAAGCTTCTGGAGTATTAATTCTGTTGGCCTGTGTTTACTATTAGCATCTCCCTTCCTTGTCTGCAGTTCCGTCTTGGGTATCTCCGGGGTTCTGCTTTCTGTCAGTGCCTGAGAGTGTGACCCTGACACGTATCACATGTGCACTAACACTTACAGAAAAAGATGGGAGAACAGAGTGGTATTTAGAGTCCCCAAATGCAGTGATGTGTGGGCTTCAGATAGTCCTTCCAAATAATCTCTCATTCCTGAATAATCACTTGGCTGGAGTTTTACAGGGGGAAATTTCTATAACAGCTTGGTAATCAACATGAAGCATGAAGAGGTACATCTGTGGTTGTCGGAGCTGGTTCTGTCTTGAAAGCTAGAAAACGCAGGTGATTTGAGAAAGACATTGTAATCACGGAGGAGATGGACCACAGGGCTTCAAGGGTGGTGTCAGAAGCTGTGACCTATTTGGCTTACAAAGAGGCTCCTGGTATTCAGAACTTACCCTCCTTGTCACTCCTCTTTCTGACTCCAACCCTGACCCTACTCCCTGTCCTGACACAACAGTCCCCACCCTAGCATTCTCTATGGGCACTGGCTTCATTTCAACCAACTCTTATGGGCCATTTTCTTATTTTTTAGAGGAATACATTAGATTCTCAGGGTCACAGCAAATCCATGCTAATTACTACAAAACAATTTCATGAATTCTAATGTTAAAGTGATATAATACAAAGAGAACAAATTCAATGTAGTGTTCACAGATACAAATCTAAAAACATAAAGATACTTCCCCCTTCCTTCCTTTCTTCCTTTTTCTTTCTTTCTTCCCTTCTTTCTCTACTTCTCTCTTCCCTCCTTCCCTTCTCTTTCTTCTTTTTTCAAATTTCTGAGACAAGTATTTTAAACTTGCACAATAGTCAAAGACTCAATGTGCCTAAATAAAGTTCAACATGTAAAAAGACCATAGTTCAGCAGGAATATAGGCAAGGACTATAACCAACAATTAAATGAAAAATGTCAATTTCACACGTGTACAGTAAATTTTTAAAAAATCACAGATGTTTAAAACTATCGTAGTACATAATTATTTTTACGTTTTTCTCTATTTGAAAATTTTAATTTTTATTAAGTTTTTAATAGATTCAATGTGATTTATAGATACAATTCTAAGAACATAATGATATTCCTTCCTTCCCTTCCCCTCCCTCCATCTTTCCTTTTCCCTTTCTCTTTCTCTCTTAGTTTTTGAGATGATATATTTTAAAATGACATTACCGTAAAAAGGCTTAATGCTTCAACAACTAAGAAGTTTAATAAGTAAAAGCAAAAAGCCCGTACTTTAGTGAGAATATAGACAATGACCATAATGGGAAAATGATCATTTCACTCATACACAGTAAATTTTAAAGTAATCACAGATCACCAAAACTATAGTAGTATAACATTCTTAACCACTGCCGAAGTTATAAAACAAAGTTTTACAAAACCATATTTGCAGCAATACTGAAACACACAGACATTTCCTTTTTCTCTCTTTTTGTTTTTTGAACTTTCGCTCCCACATGTAAGGGAGAACATGCAGTATTTGTCTTTCTGGGTCTGGCTTATTTCACTCAACATGATGTTCTCTAGTACGTCCATTTTGCTGAAATAGTAGATTTTCATTCTTTTTTATAGCTGAATAATATTCCATTGTGTATATATACCACATTTTCTTTATCCATTCACCTGACGATGGACATCTTGTTTGGTTCCAAATTTTGGCTATTGTGAATAGTGTTGCTATGAACATAGTGGTGCAGTATCTCTTTGATACACTGTGCTCAAGTCTTTTTGATATATACCCAGTAGTGGGATCTCTAGATCATATGGCAGGTCTATTTGTAGTTTTTTTAAAGAAATCTCCACACTGTTTTCCACAGTGGCTGCACTAATTTGCATCCCCACCAACGTGTATAAGTGATCCCCTTTCTCTTCAACTTCCCCAGCATTTGTTACTCTCTGTGTTTTGGATTTTCGCCTTTCTGACATTCTGATTTTAGCCATTGTCATTGTGGTTTTGATATCCATTTCCCTGATGGCTAGCAATATTGAGAATTTTTTCATATATTTGTTGGTCATTTGTATTTCTTCTTTTGAGAACTGTCTATTGAAGTCCTTTGCCCATTTCTCAACTGGAGTGATCTATGGACCATTTTCATTGTACTTGTATGCATCTTTACTGAATGCCTACCACAGGCCAGTTTGCACACAGCACAGATGTACAAAAATGAGTAAGACGTGATCTCTCTCAGGAAAAGTGTGAACAATTCACATCAAAGAGCAGAATTTCCTAAAGTATGGATGGCTAATAGGTTTTGTGCAAAAGGGAACTGTGCAAATAAAATGCTGTTTATCCAGTGTAAACAGGTTAGTTTTGTTTCCAAACCACAAAATCCTTGTTGTACTAATATACATTGTGACTCCAAAGAGGAGATAGAAAGATCCAGTATTTCCCAAATTTATTTGATTCTAAAAATTGTTTCTCACACAGTACCATACAGACCAGAGCTCCTTTTGGACCTTTACTGGCAGCCCTGAGTGCAAAGGATTATGGGAACACACACAGGAAAGCGTGGTGACCATTTTCTTGTTGGGTAGCCATGTTTCTGTTGAAACATTTATTTGGTAATTTATTAACTCACTCAAACTTTTATGACTGGGGCCAAACATTATGATGACAAATCGCTGATAGATGAAAAACACTGTTTTCTAATGGAAGCTGTCCTTTCTCCCTGCATATTCTCACCATTTACATTCTGAAACATCAGGTTGCTGACCAGACCACATGTGTCTGTGTAACTGTGTTTCGAGTCACTGCAAAGTGGACAAATAACTATCATCAAGACTGCAACATGTAGACAGCCAACTTTCTTCCGTCACTCTACTGATGACCATTTTCCAAAGCTGAGAGTTAAAAAACAGCACAGACAACAATCATCTTGGACAGTTTAGGCTTCATTCGATTGGCAAGTGGGAAATGAAACATGATGAACTTCTGATGTTCTTTCCAACACCAGGATTCCAAGAATATAAAAGGAGCACAGTGATTGTTAAGGAAAAGTAACTGTCATCACCCAGCACAAAAAGACAGGGGGAAGTCATTTCAGTGCTGAACAACGGGTATTCATTTACCTCTCAAGCTTCAGTGATTGAAATCAAAGAATTTGCTGAACTATCAGAAACTCTGATGTTTTCTGCGCTTTCTGCTCTGCATCACTTCACTTCTTTCCTGCTCACAACTTCCCACCGGAAAAGGTGGGTAAGGTCAGTTGACCAAATTCAAATACAAAACTGTTCCTTGTTAGAAGCCTTGGTAAAAGGGTTGAGAGCAATGGAGGCTTGAACACAAGGTTATGATAAAGATGGATCTAGGAGAATCAGTTATGCATGTTTTCACGCTTTGTTATGAGTCTAGAGGTAGCTATAATGTAGTCTATCTAACAAAAAAGAATAGCAGAAGGTTTGTAATCCTTTTCTCTAGGCAAATACACTTTGAGAATTTTCCTTGAGGCATTACTATGTATGCTGACATCAGGGATTATAAAAAGAAGATAAATGTAAAATCTAGGTTTTATATAATAAATTAATTTTTATAAATCTACACAATATGAACCTCTTTTAAATTAAATATTCTAATAATTCAGTGTGGTTACCAGCTTTAAAAAAATAAGTTCCTATGGACAGCCAAGACACCGTGGCAAAAAATGTTCTACATGAAGGATCTCTGTGAGTGAGACCCCAGCAGGAAGAAGTGGCCATCAAAGAAGGATGTACTTTTCTCTAAAGAGAGGAGAGAACTTCCACTTCACTACGGCCTTGTCTAAATGCTGATGGAGTCTGTGGATTCAAAAGGCTTCCATAGCCTAGATAGCTCATGTGAAGAACCTTGGATGGTCACTGACTCATATATAAGAGTGTTAATTGTTGAATTAATAACAGGAGTCACTGTGCACTAACTCCCCATTCAGAACCTCTGTCCTCAATGAGTTG